GTATGCTTTTCTTTTTCCTCTTACACTCATCCTGCGCACCTCACCTCAGATGAATCGTTTCTCTCTTTCCCATTGACCGGTCAAACTATAGTGTAAATAAAAATATGCGTGCTTGTCCCTCGCCACAATATCTCAGTCGGTGCGGGAGGTGATGACCAGGGAGGGAGAGCACTACACGTTGATGTCGTAGTTGTTGTAGAAGCTGGAGGTCCTGCACTCCGCGGGGATATTCACATAGCCCACCTCCCCCAGGCAGCGCCGTATATCGTGCAGCTGCTGCGCTTCGAAGCCGCACAGGGACGCCGTCGCGCTCTTGCACGCGGCCAGGCCCCTCATCCACCCCTGGCACGCGCTTTCGCTGATGCTGTCAACGTTGGACACCAAGCACCGCCACATATCAGTGAAGGACGAGCCACTGTGGATACCGCAAAGTCGCTTGTAGTCGCTGCTGCAGTGCGCCACCAAGCTGGGGCCGTCACGATGATGGTGGCCGTGGTGCTCGTGCTCATGCTCCTCGTGCTCATGGTGCTCATGCTCCTCGTGCTCATGGTGCTCGTGGTCATGACGATTGCGGTCGTTGTGGTCATGGTGCTCGTGGTCATGACGATTGCGGCCGTGGCGGTTGCGGTCGTTGTTGTGGTGGCCGCCCAGCACCGCCGACGCACTGCAGGCGAGGAGAACACAGGCAATAACAAGGCAGAACCTCATGTTGCTTGATGGCGTGTCGCGCTTCTTCACTTAATAGTGGTGACTGTGGGTGGCGCCACAGACCAGAGAGAAACACGCCAGGGAAGAAAAAAAAGAAGCACAACGAAGAGTCACTCGAAGGGGGATCCGCTCACCACGCTCATCGGTGCGGCGCGACTGTGCGCAGGATATGATTAGACTTAGCATTTATTTGCACTCTACCGTGCTGCCGAGCGGAAAAAACATGGCGTGGCTGTACTTACATATTTTTCTATGTGCAGCAGGGGCAGAAAACCGCGGAGGGGAAGCGCCAACAGACACAAGTCTAAATGATGAAGCATGGATGGACTGTGGAGAGTGCAAGTTGCACTAAAAGGGACGATCGCGCTGTTTTGGGAGGAGTGGGACGTCCTTGTAGCGGTCCGGCTTTGCGCGTTCCAAGTTCTCCATCTCTTTCTTTATGCGCTCCTCAAATTGTCTCTCGTAGTCCTGCTGCTTCGTGAGCTCATTGCGTACAGCCTGCCGAGAGGCCTCCTTCTCTGCTGCGCGGCGCTGCATTTGCTCCTCAAGGTACTTCTGGTTCTCGCGAAGCAGGGCGTAGCGGCGGGCACGCTCCTGCGCGTCGATGTCAACGGCGCCCTCCAGCTCTCGGAGGAAGTTTGCGTGTTCCCGTGCTGCCGCCTCTGTGTCTTGGCGCTCCTGCTGTCGCTTGTCAAGCACCTGCTGCCGCCGTATGATGAGGACGTTACGCAGCAGCTTGTCCCGCTTCTGCTGGTCAGCGCGCCAGCGTGCCTCTTTCTTCTCCCACTCCTTGTTGTTCGCCTCGTCCCACAGACGGTCAAGTTGGTCCTTGTCCTCGTTGCGCTTTTCAAGCTGCTTGCGCACCTCATTCATATGTTCCACTGCTGCTACGCGGCGCTCATGCTTGCGCTGCCGCTCCTGCTCCTCCTCCGCCGCCAGCTGCGCAAGGTGGCGATCGAGCATCTCCTTGTCCTCCTGCTGCAGCCTGTCGTACTCCTGCTGCCGCACCCGCTGTACCTCATCGTTGAACTCACTCATCTCCTTCGCCAGCGCTGCACGTGCAATGCGGTCCTCGATGCGCTTCTGTGTCTCCGCGGCCTTCTCCTCGGCGATGGCGCGGTTGAACTCGTCGTCCTCGCGCCGCTTCTCCGCCTGCTGCACCGCCTTGCGCGCCGCGTTCCCCTCCACCTGCGCCGCTAGCCCCTCGAGTGTCTTCTTCCGGTGTGCGTGGGCCTCCTCGAGGTCGCGCTGCG